TGCTCTTTTGACAAAAACAGCAAAAGTTACACTTTTGTGACCTAGAGAGATTAGAAATATATACTAAAACCAGTTCGTTCTCTCATAGAAAACTTTTGTCAACATTTTCTTTAAAAAATTTCCATTTCTAAAACATGGCGTTATACATATAGCCTTAACAAGGTAATAAATATTAAATTTTAAATCTCTGTAAAACTTAAATCCGTTTATTACTCCTCTACAATTTTCCAATATTTTTCGAAACTTTCCACCATGTGTTCGCTTTATTAGCAAATATTTTCTTGCGAATTCGCGTTAATTCAGGTAAAATTCAAAATTTCGAAATTTCCCAAAATGAAACAAAAATCCGCTAAACACATTTTAAACACTCTGGCGCATGCTTGCATATCACGTTTACTTTGACAGTGTTTTTAAAAAGGAATTAAAATTCAATTACCGCTTAAAGGTAAACGAAATTAGTCAGTCAGTCCCGTATGTAAACATATTTATGTACGTTGTTGTTTGTATCTTTTTGTTTTCAAAGATAAATTTGTATTTGCTTTAGAATCTCTCATTTCTTTCTTTATTCCTTAAAGGTAAACAGCTACTAGGTTTACTCCTCGTTTTAAACATAAACTGCTTTTACTTTTCAAAGTGCCGGGGAATTGTAGCAACTGCAGTTGTGTGGGAACAGAGAGCAGTGACAATTTCATATGTTGTGAAATTATTTGTTTTAGACATCCGGACTTTCAAACGGAGATCTTCTCTGATGTTGAAAACTACAAAACTGTGATGATATCACATCTTTCTCAGTCAGTCTGTATTCAGTCAAGGTTTGAACCTAGGTCTAGGTAAAAAAAAACGGAATAAAACCTCACATCTATATCACTATTATAGGATAATTTTTGACAAATTTCAAGACTTTATTAACCAGTTCTGAAACAATGGATAATAAAATATCAAAATTCTCACGTCCATAACTTGATGCAAAAGCAACCAAGGCTGGATAAATGAAGTCTCTGATAGGGTTTTAACAGGACATAGTTCAATTAATCCCCCTTATTACGAGTGTCGTCGTCGAAGTCATTGTTGTAGACAGTCTCAGAAAAAAAAATGACTATTAAATAGGTTCCGTGATGAACTGGCAAGTATTTCAGGGCCCAACCATTTCGATTTACTAAGTTTGATCAGTAGAATTAACTGTATTGTTTTCGATTAAGAGCCAGACCGAATCCCTTGGATCTCCATCTTGTTCCAATCATTCTATCCATCTATCTATCTATCTATCTATCTATCTATCTATCTATCTATCTATCTATCTATCTATCTATCTATCTATCTATCTATCTATCTATCTATCTATCTATCTATCTATCTATCTATCTATCTATCTATCTATCTATCTATCTATCTATCTATCTATCTATCTATCTATCTTCTATCTATCTATCTATCTATCTATCTATCTATCTATCTATCTATCTATCTATCTATCTATCTATCTATCTATCTATCTATCTATCTATCTATCTATCTATCTATCTATGTATCAACTTTGTTAAACCGGCCTCAGGTACAGAAGTCTTAATTTCTTTAGTTCATGCTATTTTTCCCCACACAACTGTACTGACTCATCGCTCATTATGGTAATAGTAGACAATTACCTTAATTTTTGAAATTATTTATCACACAAATAAGGTTGTGGTATATTTTGCTACGAATGCAATTTCGTAGTTTCATTTATTTTTTTGATAAAAACCTTCATTAATTCAATTAAATTTCACTTAAACGGACGGCTAAACTATATTAGTCATAATATTTTAACTGAATTTCTTTGCTAAATGAAATTTTCAATATTTATGCTGATACTTTGTTGATCAGCAGTGATTTTGTTGCTTCAACAAAGAAACCGTTTTAATGTTAAACGGGGCGACTGTATTTAAAAACTATTTTTCGTACTTTTTCCATATACGAGATTTGTTTAGCAAATGATCGTTTGCACACAACTTTAACACGATCAGTAATTTGTATTGTGAACGTTAAAACGTACGTTGTGGGCAAAATTCAAATCTAAAGCGCAAAATACTACTCTCTAGAACTTTGTTCTTAACACTTTATGAGGATGATGATGTTGGTGACGCACACGTCACGCTATTAAAGGTTAAATTGAAAAAAACTGAAACTGATAAAAGCTTAAGAATATTTGTATTGCTGGTTAGCTTCCCACCCCTCCAGTACCCTTTTACTGTGCAGACTTACGGGAGCACGCGGTTTTTATTTAGTTATTAAAATAAACAATAAACAAACTAAGAAGTCCACTCTTATGGCAACAACAGCAATAATCAGGCATGGAAAACTGAAACTTTGAAATAGTACTTACTGACTAGACTATAGACTAGACTATAGACTAGACTATAGACTAGACTATAGACTAGACTATAGACTAGACTATAGACTAGACTATAGACTAGACTATAGACTAGACTATAGACTAGACTATAGACTAGACTATAGACTAGACTATAGACTAGACTATAGACTAGACTATAGACTAGACTATAGACTAGACTATAGACTAGACTATAGACTAGACTATAGACTAGACTAGACTATAGACTAGACTATAGACTAGACTATAGACTAGACTATAGACTAGACTATAGACTAGACTATAGACTAGACTATAGACTAGACTATAGACTAGACTATAGACTAGACTATAGACTAGACTATAGACTAGACTATAGACTAGACTATAGACTAGACTAGACTATAGACTAGACTATAGACTAGACTATAGACTAGACTATAGACTAGACTATAGACTAGACTATAGACTAGACTATAGACTAGACTATAGACTAGACTATAGACTAGACTATAGACTAGACTATAGACTAGACTATAGACTAGACTATAGACTAGACTATAGACTAGACTATAGACTAGACTATAGACTAGACTATAGACTAGACTATAGACTAGACTATAGACTAGACTATAGACTAGACTATAGACTAGACTATAGACTAGACTATAGACTAGACTATAGACTAGACTATAGACTAGACTATAGACTAGACTATAGACTAGACTATAGACTAGACTATAGACTAGACTATAGACTAGACTATAGACTAGACTATAGACTAGACTATAGACTAGACTAGACTATAGACTAGACTATAGACTAGACTATAGACTAGACTATAGACTAGACTAGACTATAGACTAGACTATAGACTAGACTATAGACTAGACTATAGACTAGACTAGACTAGACTAGACTAGACTAGACTATAGACTAGACTATAGACTAGACTATAGACTAGACTAGACTAGACTAGACTATAGACTAGACTCTAGACTAGACTATAGACTAGACTCTAGACTAGACTATAGACTAGACTAATAGACTAGACTAGACTATAGACTAGACTATAGACTAGACTAGACTATAGACTAGACTATAGACTAGACTATAGACTAGATAATAGGCTTTACTATAAACTAGACTGTAAACTAGATTATAGACTAAAATATAGACAAGACTATAAACTAGACTACATTATAGACTACTATTTGGGCTACTGATTAAAGTTTATAAGTTAGAAAAAGTAACGTGGTATTTTATCGATATCAATAAGTACGATAGTACCGAGTTTTCCATGCCTGACAATAATAACTATGACGCTGTTGATTACGTTTAAAAATGATGACGAATTTTACGAACAAAACGAGCGTTGAACGATCGCAATGATCGTTTGCTTATAAACATGTTTTTGCAAAACAGCACATGATCGCGATCCCGTTTGTTGTTTAGGGATATTTGAATTTTTCTGTGTTGAAGCAGAGACTAAAAAACGTTAAAAACCGTTGAAATTTAAAATATATTTAAAACCAGCCAGCGCTATAAAAATGTTTATAAAGTGGGTAAACGTTTAAAAATTATTTTTAAAGTTTTTAATAAAGAATATTTTTAATTTTTATAGTTTTGTTATAATTTGCAATGATTTCTTTATATTTTTCTAAAACAGACATATTTTGCAAAATAAATTTAGAGACCATATAGTAAATAAATCTTAATAAAATTTAAGAAAATCCTTTTGTTAAATAGTTGTTGTTGGTTTTCCTTTCTTGGAATTCAAGTGAATCACCTTGCTGCAGTTTTTAGCAGCAGCTGCTAAAATATAGTTTTTGTTTTTATTGTAAAATTTTCTACCTGCAGTTTGTCATAATAATAAAGTGGAGTAAAATTGTACTGGAAAAAGAAAAGATTAAACAAAGAAAAAAGTGTGTGCGTCGTTTATTTTTGAAAATAGTACATGCGTGTGTTTTTGAATTTTTATGCTGGCAGGACGAAGGAATTCCTTTTGTTTAAATTGCTGCTGCTGTTGTTGTTGCTTAAATAACACAACTGTACTGTTGTAAAGAATTAAAAGAAAATTTCAAATTGAAAGAAATTCTGAAGAGTTTTAAGAAAATTAAATGTTAAGGGTGGTTTTGCTTTTTTAATAGAATATGAAAAACAAATAAGAATTTATTTTCTTATTTAAGTGAATTTAATAAAATTTTATATAATTTCTTAAAATTAGGAAATTTATTTCATATAAAATCTATAAGTTTTGCTTATTTAATGTGTTGCCTTATATTTTGAAATACAAAAACGTTGCAAATTTTTAAAATAATAACGCTTTTAATACAAAATCCTATTTACTCTAGAATCTAGCTAATGCTCGCCAGAGAGGGAGAGTGAAACTAACTCTCTGCTTGTTATATTATTTATATTTATGTTTTTACCTGTTTTACTAAGGTTAGAAAGAGACAACTATAGCTGTTTACGTTTTGTTATGTTTTGTTTACATTGTTTGGTTTGGTGAAATTCCTTTAATATGGCAGCTCTAAAAACAGGGTGTTTGTATTTATGTAGGTAGGTTTGTGTGTGTGTGTCGTGTAAATGGCTGCGTGTGAAAAAATTGTTTTGCCTGTTGGTATTTTGTGAATACGTCAGTTGAATTTTTACCAGCAAACGTTAAACACGTGAAATACGCTTAGCGTAAACGGTTCGAAATACACAAGAGTACATATTTTATAAATTTAAAATAGAACGAAGAATATATTATTTCTTCATACATTAAAGAAGAATATAATAAGATTTTGTTTTAAAAATCGCCATAAAGATTTCGTAAGCAAAAATTCAACTTGCATCAGCTTTTTTTTTATTAAAAATAAAACAAAAATGTGCTAAATTTTTCAAAAAATATTAAATAATAAACTAAAAAATCCTAAAAATATAAAAAGAAACTCTGCTGTCATTTGGCTCTCCTATGACGTAGAATATTGATGACAAAACAAAGTGCGCAACAGAATAAATGAAAAAAGAGTACAATTTGTACAAAGAGTGAACAAAATAAAGAGAACCTAACAATAAGCAAACCAAGTGTTGTAAAAAAAAAATTTTAAAATTAATAAACAATTATAGTGTTAAACACTTTAAATTTTATAAAACAAAAATGGATACCTCTGCCACTAACCCAAACACAACTGCTGTTAATACAGCCGCCGCCGTCACAGTAAACAAAATCCCTTATTCACAGCCTGGCTCACCAGTGCCTTCGGAAATAGCTGCCAACACGCGCAACTCCAGCAGTAGTTCTAATGTTTATACACCACCCGGTACTCCCTCCTCTTCCAGCCTTTCCACCCCCAAGAAAAACTTCCTAGATGCTGTTATGCTACAAACCCTGCGCAAGAAACTTGCCACCCCTGGTGGTGCCTTTGAACTGCAATCTTTGCGTTTGGATTCTTCTCTAGATGCTGCCGTTAATGTGGTTAAGGATCGTTATGTTATATCCGCCAAACCCAAACATATACCCGCCGCTGCCTTTGCCAAGGCTCCCTCCTGCTATCGTCATCTAGTGGATATGAATATGTCTAATCTTAAATGTACCGATATCTTTACCGGTGAACAGTTCCTATGCAAGGTAATCAATGAACCTTTGCACAAAGTCCAGCAGGCCTACTTTAAACTACAGCAGGAACCTGATCAATGCCGCAGCTCCATATATGGTCATCAGCTTATACGGGGTGTCAAGGATATTGTGGCTCTTAATAGCCAGCGCACCTATGTGATTTTAAACTCCCCACAACCTGTTAATGCCTGTGATACCACCGTGGGAGTATTTGAAGATTTACATACTTATCTGCGTGACAAGCATCGTTTATCGGAAGCCGAAACCCGCTGCCTATTCCATCAGATCTGCGAGACCGTTTTGGTGTGTCATCGTAATGGCATAATTTTACGTGATCTTAAGCTGAAAAGATTCTTTTTTGTCGATGAAGCAAGGTAAGTTGTTTGTATTTTTTTATAATTTCTTAACTTCTTTAGAGGTTGACTTCCACTTTCTTAACTCACTGCCCCGGATTAGAGTTATTAAAGGGAAGTTTTAACTTTTTAAAGAAGTTTTACTTAATTTGCCCAGAAACTTTAAAAGAAATATGTTTTATAAAAGAAGTTATTCTTTAAAAAAACCTCCTAGAAAAGTGTATATATAGGCTCTAGGGAGGATTTTATAGAATTTATCCAAAACACACCCCTCTTATTTTACATTTGCTTACAAAATTATAATTTAAAATGAACCCCCGCAGCTTAATTTTAACACCCCTGACTTGTAATTTAATATTTTTCCAATTTTAATTAAAACCATCACGGGTTCTTATATAAAACATCCTTATAAAACAATACAAAAAACCCTCACTAAAGAAAACATACCTTTACCTTTTACAAAACTACTAATATTCTCAGCTCTGCAAAATAAAGAGCAAAAAAAAGTGTAAAGTAAACAACTCACACTCACTAATACTGACAAACCGTCATTTTCTCAATCAAAAAATATGACATGTTTTACTTTTTTTACAACATAATTGTAGTATGGCAATATTAGCAATAATGGCAACAAAAACAACAACGAAACTAGTTATTGCCATTAACACACAAACATTGAGAGATAAAAAAAAACTTCAAAAAAGCAAAACAAAAGCAAAAAATATACAACCAAGCAACAACAATTTCAACAAGTAAATAATGAAATCAACAGTGTCAGGCAAAATGAAGCGAAAAATCAGGAAATTTGTAGATTTATTAAAAGAATTCTGGAAAAATTTTATTAAATTGTAGGAAATTTTAAAAAATTAATAGGACTTTGTTAAATTTACATAAAATTAAAGCATTAAAAAGGAAATTTGAAAAATGTTTGTAAATTTAAATAGAAAATAGTTGAAATTGTGTAGAAAAAGGAATAAATTCATAAAAAATATGGAATTTAAGAAGAAAAATATATAATTTTGATAGAATTTTTTCTTAAATTTCAATAAAATAAAATTTGAATAATGAAAAATTTTTTAAAATTTGAAAAAAAAAAAAATCAAAAATGTTAAAAAAATCAAGAAATTAAAAAAAAAATTTAAAAAATCAATAATTTATAAAAATTTCAAGAAAAATTTAAAAAAAATTTTGATAATTTAAAAAAAATTTTGAAAATTAAAAAAAACATTAAGAAAATTGAAAAAATTATAAAGAAACAAATAAAATTGTTTACCAAAATCAAATTTTTAGAAAAAAAAATACGAAAACTTTAAAGTAAATTTCAAAAAGTTGAACGTAAATCTAAAAAATTTAAAAAAAATTATAAAATATTTCACGAAAATTTTTGAAAAATTTAAGAAATTATTGAAAAATTCAAGAACATTTTTAAAAAATTTAAAAAATAAAAGAAAAATTATAAAATTTTAAGAAAATTTTAAAAAAATTTCCAAAAATGTTAAGAAAATTAAAAAAAATTTCTTTTGAAATCATTAAACTTATTTCCATAATTCCTATTAGAAAAATAAAGTACAGTTAATTACTAACAAAATTACCCCTATAATCTTTACAAAAATTTTCCTCTATTTCCCTTTAAACAACTCTTAAAAATCTTTTTGTTACCAACTGTTTTTCAAGTTTTTTTCTCAACAAAATTTGAAAAAAAAAAAAACTTCAACCATTTGTTGTTATGGCAACATTTGCAAGTAACATTGAACGTAGTATTTTCAAACCAAAATAATTTTGAAATCAATACAATGAAATACTTAACACAACAAAAATTTTTTACGCCACCAAACAAAAACACACAGAAAACTACTACCACCAACACTACTTTTTAAACCAAAATGCTCTGAGGGCCAACAATTACAAAATAAACAAAATTAAAAAAAAGCCAAAAAAAAATTAACACAGAGAATCCCCTACAAAATTTTTTAATATTAACACTTATACGCTGATGATGACGAAGTCTTTTGACACCCGCAAAATCAAAAAAACTTGATTCTGTTACAACAAAAAAATAAATTTTCAAAATTGTAAACGGCTGCAAAATTGCAGTTTGTAGTTTTTATTACCAAACAATTTAACAGCTTGTTGCATATAATTTTTGGGAGAGAAAAATTTAAAATTGAGAGATTTACCAAAGAGTTGTAATAAATTTGTAATACAATTACAAACAATACGCTCTTCTCCCATTATTAATAATACAATGAGAGCGTAATTTTAAGTTTTTTCTCTCTTATTTCTAAACAGTTTTATTTTTTAATTAATTTGTTTTTTAAAGTAATTTATTTAATTTTTTTTATTAAATATTTCCGCTTACTCATTGAAAATTAACTTATTTTTTATTAATTTCTAAGAATTTTGTAAATTACTTTAATAATTTTATAAAATTTTCCTTTTGGGGAATTTTTTTCTTTTTTTAAATACTCTTAACTTAAAAATCTTTTAACCTTCGTATTGATTTTTAGTTGGGTAATTTTTTTTGTTGTTATTTTGACAATTGTGTAATTTTTGGCTTTTTTCATTAATAATTTTTTTTTTGATATTTATTTTCAAAAGTGTAGCAATCATTATTTGTTATAAAATTTTTTAGTTTACTTAACTAACAGCCCTCGCATTTTGATAAATTTTGAAATTTTTGTTACTCACTATTATCTTACTTAAAATTTTTAAGTAAAAAACTAAATTTTTTTTTTCATTATTTTCAAGTTTTTTTTAATTAAATTTTTTTTAAATATATTGCTTAATTTTTGTTTCGGCTTTATTCCAGTTCTCTTTTTTTGTTTAATCTAATCATTTTTTTAATAATGTCATCATCATTATGATCAAATTAATTTTTTTTTTGAAAGAATGTTTAAGGTCATTGAACATATTGCCTATGACCCTGAGAAAAAATTAAATACAAAATTTGTATTTCTAATTTCATGTGATACATGAAAAGCTTCTATATAAACAATATTTATTTATTTCTAGTATATATCCGCAAGAATTACTAAATACAATAAATTTGTGCCAAATACATTTAATTTTCTGACAACACCATTTCCTAAGAGAAAATAAAATATGACAAAACTTATAGAATTTCAGAAAAAATAAGAATTTTTTTAAATTTTGATTGATTTTCTTAAAACTATGATTCTTTTTTTCATATTGTTTTTTAATTTCAAAAATTATGAAATTCTTAGTAGAGTTTTTTATCTAATTATTTTGCATTTATTGAAATTTCGCTAAATCATGTTACTTTTAACAATTATTTGCTAAAATGATGAAATATTTTCAAAGAATTTGATAAAATTTTATAAAATGTTTAAATATTTTGCAAAAACTTGGAACGATTTAATCATTTTTCTTTTTAATTTAAAGTTCTTAAAAGTAATCAACATTTTACTTTTTAAATATTCTTAAAATCTGAAAATTTTAATCGCTTTAAAAAAAATTAAAATACTTGCTATAACATTAACAAAATTCAAAACATTTTTAAAATTTTTCTAAAAATTGTGAAATTTTTCCTATTTAATTTTAAAAAATTAAAACATTTTTGTTATCAATTTCGATACTGTTATTTTTTTTTTTAATTATTTAAAATGAAAACAAATTAAAACATTTTTTTTTAATTTTTATTAATAATTGTGAAATTTTCTTTAAAAATACAAAATTTATTTATAATTTTTTTTCTTTTTATTCCATAAATTTCAAAAATTGTGAAATTAATTTATAATTGCTCATAAGTTTTGACCTTAAATGGTATGAGTAATAATTAAAATGTGCTTTTTTTAAAAAAATTTCTTTGTTTTCATTTATTTTCTTTATAATTGTATAATATTTTCAATATTTTACACAAAGCAATAATTTTGTTCTCTTTTTTTATAAATTGTTATTGTTATATTTTTTATATCTCTATTTTTCTTGAAATATTATTAAATTTTCCAATATTTTTTAAAAATATTTTAGTTTTTCTTTTTATAATTTTTCTTAAAGTTTTCCATTTTTTTTTTATTAAAATTGTGCAAATTTTATTGTTTTTTTTTTTTTTTTTTTTTTTTAATTTTTGAAATTTTCTAGGAATTTTTTTATATTTATGTTTTTGTTGTGGCAATTTTTTCTTTAAATGTTCTATTTAATACAATATTTCCTTTATTTTATATAAATTCTTTATGTTTCATTCAAATTTCTGTTAATTCTTTGTATTTTAAGCAAATTCTTTAAAAAATTTCCTTTAATTTATAAAATTCTTTCATATTTTACCTTGAAAACGGTGTTTTCATGGGTTTGTTTACATTTACTGCTTAATTTTCTCATCCCCCTCGCTCTCTCTCCCTCTTCTATGCAACACTTTTGTTGTTTACTGTTAATTAACAAGCTGCCATATGACAACTTGTTTAACATACTTTTAACATTAATATGGCAACTCCTTTTTGTTTATTGACATTTTTTTCAAGTAATTTACTACTTGCCTCATTCAGGGTGATTTTTTTTTTGGAAAAAATCAAGAAAATTAAAAAAAAATTTGCGAGGTCATATATTTGTAATTGTAGTTTATCTTTTAAAATATAATTTTATGCTTCTTCTTTTGCTTTACAACTCTTTTTGCTCTTTTTTTTTTTTTTTGAACACAACACATACAAAAAAAAACTTTATTTTGGTTTTGTTGCTGTTTGATGGCTCTTCTTCTTTATATATTTTTGTATTTGTTGTAGTTTTTATGTTTATGTATGTAAATTGTATTGATATCAGGGTCAGTTCGAGGTTTCTTATTGTGTTTTTGTTTTATTATTATTATAGTGCTTATATTGTTGTAATACTTGTTGAAATTGCTTGTTTTTGTTATTGCTGCTGTTGCTGTGAAGCTTTTTGGGTGTTGCTCTGCTGTATTTTTTTGGAAATACTATACAGCATTTAATTTGTTTAGTTTGGATTGTTTTTTTTTTTTTGTTTGTAATTCAAACACATCTTGCTGGCAATGAATTTATTACAACATGCTGCTGGTTTTAAGTGAACCGCGCCGCCAACCAAGTATGTTTTGTATGGGCGTTATTTTAGCTTTAGCTAACTGTCTGTATCTTTTTTAAAGATTTTTTTTTATATTTTTTAACATGGAGTTATTAGAATTTATACAAAAAGTTCAATTACAATTGTTGCGGCTGTTAGTTTTTTTTTTTTTTTCAAATTACAACAAATGAGGTCAAGTTGTCAGCTAGCATTCTCTTAAAAACTCTAGTTTACTCTTTACTAAAGTTTTAAGCAATTTTTTTCTTTAAAATTTTGTAAGAATAACTTCTTTTTTTAACTAGTTTCTTTAATTTTCTTGGCAAAACTTAAATATTCTTATTATTTTTTCTTTTCTTTAATAAATTACTAATTTTTTTCTCAATTTTCTTTTCCCTTTTTAGAACCAAACTTCAATATGAATCTCTAGAAGGTTCCATGATCCTGGATAATCCTGAGGATGATACTTTAAGTGAAAAAATTGGCTGCCCTCTATACACCGCCCCCGAATTACTCTGCCCAGAACCCACCTATAAAGGCAAACCTGCTGATATGTGGGCTTTGGGTGTAATACTCTACACCATGTTGGTGGGTCAATATCCTTTCTTCGAGAAAGGCAATAGCAATCTCATTACCATTATTAGACAATGTTTTGTACAACTACCCGGTCATCTATCACGTTCCGCCCGCTGGCTTTTATTATCTTTACTAAGGAAAAACATTTCTGATCGTGTGCCCATAGAGCATATCTTCCTCTCACCCTGGTTAAAAGAACAAAAACCCTTCCATATGTATATACCCGTTGATGTGGCCATACCCGATGATGAGGATGATTGTCTGAGCGACAATGATGCAATGGATTGTATGGATATTGTGGAAGATGATGGCGTACAGCCTTTGGATTATTCCTGCAGTACCTTAAGTCTGAATTATGTTAATGATTCTTATGCTGAAATGGGTTGACCCTGGTGTTGTCTTTCTCAACACTAAGCAGCCAGCATAAGTTTGTAGCTTATGCTCGAAGCTAAAGACTCTTGTAATCTTTTTTAAGCGCTGGCGCGCTAGCTTCGTTGTTATAGTTGCTCTTCGTTAAATCAAAAAGGGTCAAAGTTCTCCTCCAACTAAACAAAACGTCAGCTCCTAGCCACGGGTTAATGTCATTGCTGTTTCGCCAACGCCTTCTTCGTTTCTTTCTTAAGAAACTCAACTCCTTGAAAACCCACCTTCTAAGTGAGAGAGTGTAAGACTGTCTGTTGGACACCTTAAACATAGGCTAAAGGCCTTAAGTGTGTCTTTTTCCAATCCCCCGCCCTTCCAAGTTACCAGTTTACACTTTTTTCCCCCCAAAAAAAAGTGTTTTTTTCCTATAGTTTTTTAAAAAAATCTTAGTAAATTAATTAAATTGTTGAATTTTTTTTATAATTTTTTAGTACAATTTTGTTATAACTCTTAATGCCTTTTATAATTTTTGTTGTAATTAATCTTCCTTCTAAAAAAATGCCTATAAAGTTCTTCCACCCTTAAATTTTTTTAAAAATCATAAAAGAAATGTTTATTATATAAATTAAGTTAAAACCCTAAACACCCGCCCTTGTGAAAAATTAAAAATTTATTATGAAATTAAGTTGTTTTTGAAAAAAGTTTATGCAAAAGAAAAAAAAAAAAAGAAAAAATATCATTTGAAAAAAAAAGAAATATAAATAATTTGATCTCAATATTAATTAAAAAAATCTGTGTTTTATTTGTTTATTTATTTTGTTGTAGATATTTTTAAACTTACGCCAACATAATTCTATTGTTAGCCAAGATAAAAATATATAGTCAACAATCGTTAAGATCTAAGATAAATTTTTTTTTGTCAAAATACAAATATTTTTTTCAGTTTTGAATTTAAAAGAAAAAATGTTTGCTAAAAGTAAACAACATTAAGCTAATGGCAAAATATGTATGTTGTTTATGAATCAACAGACATGAATCAATTTTGAAATGTTTTTGTTTATGAAAAAAAAAAAAACGAATCATAAAAAATATGTTTTAATAATTTTAAAATTTTGCAAAAACATGTGACGACATTTGGAATGATGAAATTTTTTAGAAAAGTGTTTTGTTAAGACATCATTCTATAGAATATATTTCAGATTATAGGTTATAGACTATTTATATAGTCCAGACTATAGACTAAACTATGGTTCAGACTATGGACTGAATTATAGGCCAAACTATAAACTAAACTATAGCGCAAAATATAGAATAAACTATAGTCCAGACTATAGACTATACTATACTACAGACTATACTATACTACAGACTATACTATAGACTAGACTATAGTCCAGACTATAGACTAGATTATAGACTAGACTATAGACTAGACTATAGACTAGACTATAGACTAGACTATAGACTAGACTATAGACTAGACTATAGACTAGACTAGACTAGACTATAGACTAGACTATAGACTAGACTATAGACTAGACTATAGACTAGACTATAGACTAGACTATAGACTAGACTATAGACTAGACTATAGACTAGACTATAGACTAGACTATAGACTAGACTATAGACTAGACTATAGACTAGACTATAGACTAGACTATAGACTAGACTATAGACTAGACTATAGACTAGACTATAGACTAGACTATAGACTAGACTATAGACTAGACTATAGACTAGACTATAGACTAGACTATAGACTAGACTATAGACTAGACTATAGACTAGACTATAGACTAGACTATAGAATAGACTATAGACTAGACTATAGACTAGACTATAGACTAGACTATAGACTAGACTGTAGACTAGACAAAAGACTAGACTATAGACTAGACTATAGACTAGACTATAGACTAGACTATAGACTAGACTATAGACTAGACTATAGACTAGACTATAGACTAGACTATAGACTAGACTATAGACTAGACTATAGACTAGACTATAGACTAGACCAGACTATAGACTAGACTATAGACTAGACTATAGATTAGACTATAGACTAGACTATAGATTAGACTATAGATTAGACTACAGATTAGACTATAGACTAGACTATAGACTAGACTATAGACTAGATTACAGACTAGACTATAGACTAGACTATAGACTAGACTATAGACTAGACTATAGACTAGACTATAGACTAGACTATAGACTAGACTATAGACTAGACTATAGACTAGACTAAAGACTAGACTATAGACTAGACTATAGACTAGACTATAGACTAGACTGTAGACTAGACAAAAGACTAGACTATAGACTAGACTATAGACTAGACTATAGACTAGACTATAGACTAGACTATAGACTAGACTATAGACTAGACTAGTCTAGACTAGACTATAGACTAGACTAGTCTAGACTAGACTATAGACTAGACTATAGACTAGACTATAGACTAGACTAGTCTAGACTAGACTAGACTAGTCTAGACTAGTCTAGACTAGTCTAGTCTATAGTCTAGACTAGTCTAGTCTATAGACTAGACTATAGACTAGACTATAGACTAGACTATAGACTAGACTATAGACTAGACTATAGACTATAGACTAGACTATAGACTAGACTATAGACTAGACTATAGACTAGACTATAGACTAGACTATAGACTAGACTATAGACTAGACTATAGACTAGACTATATACTAGACTATAGACTAGACTATAGACTAGACTATAGACTAGACTATGGAATAGACTATAGACTAGACTATAGACTAGACTATAGACTAGACTATAGACTAGACTATAGATTAGACTATAGATTAGACTATAGATTAGACTATAGACTAGACTATAGACTAGACTATAGACTAGACTATAGACTAGACTATAGACTAGACTATAGACTAGACTAAGACTAGACTATAGACTAGACTATAGACTAGACTAGACTAGACTATAGACTAGACTATAGACTAGACTAGACTAGACTAGACTATAGACTAGACTATAGACTAGACTATAGACTAGACTATAGACTAGACTATAGACTAGACTATAGACTAAGACTATAGACTAGACTAGACTATAGACTAGACTATAGACTAGACTATAGACTAGACTATAGACTAGACTATAGACTAGACTAGACTATATACTATACTATAGACTAGACTATAGACTAGACTATAGACTAGACTATAGACTAGACTATAGACTAGACTATAGACTAGACTATAGACTAGACTATAGACTAGACTATAGACTAGACTATAGACTAGACTATAGACTAGACTATAGACTAGACTATAGACTAGACTATAGACTAGACTATAGACTAGACTATAGACTAGACTATAGACTAGACTATAGACTAGACAATAGACTAGACTATAGACTAGACTATAGACTAGACTATAGACTAGACTATAGACTAGACTATAGACTAGACTATAGACTAGACTATAGACTAGACTATAGACTAGACTATAGACTAGACTATAGACTAGACTACTAGACTAGACTATAGAGTAGACTATAGGCTAGACTATAGACTAGACTATAGAGTAGACTATAGGCTAGACTATAGACTAGACTATAGACTAGACTATTGACTAGACTATAGACTAGACTATAGACTAGACTATAGACTAGACTATAGAATAGACTATAGACTAGACTATAGACTAGACTATAGACTATAGACTATACTATAGACTAGACTATAGACTAGACTATAGACTAGACTATAGACTAGACTATAGACTAGACTATAGACTAGACTATAGACTAGACTAGACTATAGACTAGACTATAGACTAGACTATAGACTAGACTATAGACTAGACTATAGACTAGACTATAGACTAGACTATAGACTAGACTAGACTATAGACTAGACTATAGACTAGACTATAGACTAGACTATAGACTAGACTATAGACTAGACTATAGACTAGACTATAGACTAGACTATAGACTAGACTAGACTAGACTAGACTAGACTATAGACTAGACTATAGACTAGACTATAGACTAACTATAGACACTGAACTATAGACTAGACTAGACTAGACTAGACTAGACTAGACTAGACTATAGACTAGGACTATAGACTAGACTATAGACTAGACTATAGACTAGACTATAGACTAGACTATAGACTAGACTAGACTATAGACTAGACCAGACTATAGACTAGACCAGACTATAGACTAGACCAGACTATAGACTAGACCAGACTATAGACTAAGACCAGCTATAGACTAGACCAGACTATAGACTAGACTAGACCTATAGACTAGACTAGACTATATACTAGACTATAGACTAGACTATAGACTAGACTATAGACTAGACTATAGACTAGACTATAGACCAGACTATAGACTAGACTAGACTAGACTATAGACTAGACCAGACTATAGACTAGACCAGACTATAGACTAGACCAGACTATAGACTAGACCAGACTAATAGACTAGACTAGACTATAGACTAGACTATAGACTAGACTATATACTAGACTATATACTAGACTATAGACTAGACCAGACTATAGACTAGACCAGACTATAGACTAGACCAGACTATAGACTAGACCAGACTATAGACTAGACCAGACTATAGACTAGACTATAGACTAGAGTATAGACTAGACAATAGACTAGGACTATAGACTAGACTATAGACTAGACTATAGACTAGACTATAGACTAGACTATAGACTAGACTATAGACTAGACTATAGACTAGACTATAGACTAGACTATAGACTAGACTATAGACTAGACTATAGACTAGACTATAGACTAGACTATAGACTAGACTATAGACTAGACTATAGACTAGACTATAGACTAGACTATAGACTAGATTATAGACTAGACTATAGACCAGACTATAGACCAGGACTATAGACCAGACTATAGACTAGACGATAGACTAGACTATAGAATAGAATATAAACTAAACTATATAATAGAATATAGAGAAGACTATAGACTATACTATATACAGACTATAAACTGGACTATAGACTAGACTATAAACTCGACAATAGACAAGATTAGTCTACAGTATACTACAGTCCCGACTATGGACTAGACTATAAATTGGCTGGACTATGTACTAAACTAAAGAGCAGACTACATTAAAACTGCACTAGACTATAGACTAAACTATAGTCCAGACTATTGACTATACCACATTCCAGATTACAGACTAGACTATAGTCCAGACTATAGACTAAACTGTAGTCCAGACTATAGACTAAACTATAGTCCACACTATAGACTACTGTTCAGGTTATGTTAAATTTTTTTCTATAAAATTTATATTTGATAAAAATCCCGATTAATAATGAAAAATCCCCAAATATTGCACCATTT